AGTGATTAACCTTTCAGTCTAGGAGCGGAGGGCCCTGGGACCATCAATGGAGAAGAGCAGAGAGCGGGACCCTACCCAGAGAAGCAGTGAGGCCTGAGATGGAGGCAGAGAAGATGACGTGAAGAGATGGAGTGGCTGGGGACTTGAGATCCAGAGAGGGAAAGGGGCTGTGTGCTGAGGACCAGGGGGTGCAGGGGTGGGGGAGTGGGGGACAGCTTGCAGGGTATACCCTTTGGTTGGGTAATGATGCAGGGACGGGATGGTAACTATGGCAATGAAACGATGTATGATAGAATGAATGTAAAGCAAATGTTCTCCCATGTAAATTATCACACAATTCACAATAAAACATTTATTTAAAAAAAAAAAAATTAGTTCCTCCAGGTGGAAATAGGGAAAGTACATTGTGGGAAAACAATCCAAATAGCTATCAATTAGATGGACTGGATTGCCGGATTGGATTGGACTGTTTGTTTTTTTCAGTTGTACATCCAGGCAGCCAAGAAAGAGGGTTAGGTTTCTCTGTATTAACATAGAAAGGTGTCCAAAAGATTATTAAATAAAAATAGGCAAGTTGAAGGACTACCGCATATAGCATACTTGTTTTTTAAATGTTTTCTGTAAAGGGTGTAAGGGGACCTCAGCAAGCTGTGAACAGTCTGTCCCATCTGAGACTAAGGGTGGGAGGCACTTGGCTTATACTCTTCTGTGTTATTTGAATGTATTAATGTAACAAGCAGTGATGTTACTGTGTAAGTTTTTGTCAAGGAGAAAACCAGAGACACAAGGCAGTCCTGAATTGAAGGGTGTTGGTTCTAAGTGCCTCAGAGAGAAAGGGGTTCCATGTGGACTCAGGTAGTCAGGGAGAACTATCTGAATGTGTGGACAATGAATTGGCCCCTGGAGGTGAAGGGTCAGTGGTTCTGCATAAGATTTAAATACGGCAAACAGCAACTGAGCATCCCTTACCTGGACCCTCAAGGGACAGGACAGAGACTAGAAGGTGACAGTTATCAACAAGTCTCTGAGCTCCATACCATCTCCAGCATCACACTGAGTCACTGTTACCCAAGTTGCCAAAATCTGTACCACAGGATCCTTGATCAGCTACACTGTGGGATTCACCTTCTGGTAGTTCTCACTGCTCTCTCTTAGGCTTTGCTTACACCCTTCTGCACACCTGGATGCCTTACTTCCCTCCTTCTGATATGATTAGAACTCTCATACATCCTTCAAAACCCAGCTCAAACTCTAACTTTCCTGAGCTGCCTTCCCAGACCATTCCTTCATTGCTTTCCAGAGCTAAGCCCCTTATGTATCCTGGCCCCTAACCTGACATGGCCCTTACACCATGGCACCGTAATGTCTTATTGTGGGTTGTGCCATGTCTGCTAGACATCCATCCCCAGCATCCAGCACAGACTGGCTCATAGTAGATATTCAGAATACTGAAAGAAACCCTTTTATAAGGGGGGTGGGGACTTCTGGAAGTCTGCTCTCATTTTGGTTTGCTTTGGGTTGGTGAACAGAACTAGGACTCTGGTGCCAGACTGATGGGTTCAAATCCCACCTCCACCAAGTATGGACTAGTTGCTTGAGGTTGGACCAGACACCTTGGCCTCTCTGAGCCCTCCCATGTCCCCTGTAAATGGATAGTGGTGATGATAACAGCACTAGTCTTCAGGGTTCCTGTGAGTACCTGATGATCTTTGAATGCTAAAGAGCCCGTGCACAGGTAGCCCTCAGAAGCGTGGTTCTTAACTATCTTAATTATACATGCCTATTATATATGGGTGCTGTAGGATCAGCAATGGACTGCAAACCACAAGGTTGGCAGTTCAAACCCACCAGCTGCTCCTCAGAAACCCTCTACAGGGTCACTATGGGTCAGAACCGACTCGACGGCACTTAAAACAACAACATTATACATGGGTCAGGTCTTGGTGACACTCGGGTATCTCCTGAGCCATCTCTGGGCACTTGTCCCCCATGACTGCAAATGTCTGCCCCCTGGACTTTTGGCTGAACACCATTTTACTTTGATCAGACTGTGGACTCCCTGGAACAGAGGTACACTGCTTTTGTTCACCTTTGTATTCCCTTAGGCCAAGCACTGTGATGCCACACTGTAGGTGCTCAGGAAATATGTATTGAAGAATGAGTGAATGAATGAGCTAGCGAATGAATGGATGAGGGAGTGAATTAAGGGATACAGTGACCCTTGGACCTGGACCATCTGCTAAAGAAGATACAAGTAAATTACAGACCTGGTGGCCGAATCACGACTACATAGGCTGCACGACCGCTGGGGGCGCTACAGGCATCACGCGGTCATCCACCTCCCCGCTAACACTCCCGGCTGACGCTCCCGGTCTTTCCACAGGTGAGTGCCCCAGCCCGGGGCGCGGCGCCGCCGCCAAACGGAAGAAGAAGCAGCGGCGAAATCGTACCACGTTCAACAGCAGCCAACTGCAGGCACTGGAGCGCGTGTTCGAGCGCACTCACTACCCCGATGCCTTCGTGCGCGAGGAGCTCGCCCGGCGAGTCAACCTCAGCGAGGCGCGCGTCCAGGTGAGCACGGCCAGGGCGCCGCAGAGATAGGAGCTGCTTATCCGTGAACCACCCGTGGGATTATGGAATTACTGTGATAGGAAGAAGGAGCTTCTTAGGTCAGGATGGGCTGGGTTCAGATCCCCTCCCTGCCCCTAACTGGCTGTGTGACTTAATCTCTCTCTCTCTGTCTTGGTTCTCTGCCCAACCCGCTCCATAAAATAAGGATCGTGTGTGTCTATTTTACAAAGTTCTTATGAGATTTAAAGGAGCTAATTTTTTCGTTAAGTGTTTAAAACAGTGCCTGACACAAGGGTTTGGGATCAACGTTGTCTTAAAAGGTTGAGTGTTACTCTGATCCAGCCTTATGAGGAGTGTAGCATCAGTCTCTCCCTACAGCCTCACAAAGGGCAGAATTTTCACTCATCCATTTGCTGGTTCTCCCACCCAAATTTACCCAGTAGCTATTTATCGCTCTATTTTACAGATAGGGAAACTGAGGTTCAGAGAGGGGATGCTGCCAGTCTGGGGATGGGGACAGAACTGGCACAACAAAAGGACTTTGTTGTTAAGTGCCATCTAGTCTATTCCAACTCATAGTGACCCTGTATAGGGTTTCCAAAGAATGGCTGGTGAGTTTGAACCTCCAACCTTGTGGTCCAGTGCATTATCCAGCAGCACCACACCAGAATTCTAAAACTCTTGGGTGGGGTGGTCCCCTCTTCAGCCCACTGTGCCCTACTCACCACAACCTCCGATTCCAGGTCTGGTTCCAAAACCGTCGCGCCAAATTCCGCCGAAATGAGAGAGCCATGCTAGCCAACCGTTCCGCTTCGCTCCTCAAGTCCTACAGCCAGGAGGCTTCCATCGAGCAGCCTGTGGCTCCCCGGCCCACTGCCCTGAGTCCAGATTATCTCTCCTGGACAGCCTCGTCTCCCTACAGGTGAGAGGGAAATCCCTAAGGTTGTAAACCTTATGGGGCACTTGGGGTCCAGACTCCTTTGAGGACCTGAGAAGAGTTGTGTCTAGGTGCCCCTGGAGCCTGGGGTCCACTGGGTGTGTACAAATGTGCTTGCATGTGTTTAGTGTGTGCTTGTGTGTGTATAGATGTGTGTGCATACAACTGTGTGCATGTGAGTGCTGTGAGGTGTGTATGTGTGTGCACATATGTGTACATAAATGTTTGGAGGGGAGAGAAGACGGGATTTACCATTTCCTGTGGAGGGAAAGTGAAATCGGTCACCCTGAGGAAGTTGAGAACCTTCAGGAAGATTTCTAGCCCAGCCCCTGTGTAGCCCTTCCAGGCCAGAAACTGTGGCTAGAAGGTTGGAGGGAATAGCCTCTCTTTCCTTTCAGCCTGGCCGAGGTGTGGGGCCCAGAGCCAAGTTCTGGGGCAGTTCCTGATGAGGTCAAAGCTGGGAAAAGACTCCAAGATAGAAGCGCAGAAAGGAAGAGAGTACTCAGGGAGTCAGGCTGCAGCTGCCATACACCACACCTCCAGAGGGCGCCATTCACCCTTAAACCTGCCACCATCATGTTGATTCCAACTCATAGTGACTCTCTAAGACAGAGTAGAACTGCTCCGTAGCATTTCCAAGACTTTTAAATTCTTATGGAAACTGACTGCTTCGTTTTTATCCCATGTAGAGGTTTGTAGGGTCAAACCACTGACCTTTTTGGTTAGTAACCCAGTGCTGGTCAGTCTGTGTGAATGGCACTACTGAAGTTGTGGTCTTGTGGGAGGCAGGGAACCCGAAGGTCAGCTTATAGATTCTGAGCCCTTGGAGATACCCATATTAGCCTCATAGCTCTTCCAACTTCCCTCCCTGCCCTGCCTTATCTGGAAGCAGAAGGACCAAGAGACAGCCTGAAAGGCAGATGTGTGTTAGTCCCTAGTGCGAGTGCAGGGCAAGCAGGGTCCTACTCCCCAGAAGCTCATGGTCCAGAGAAGAAAAGCCCCAAATAAACAGGGGAGGCTCTGTCGTTCCCAGCCCTAACCCTGGGTGCTTCTGACCCCTGTCCAAACCCTGCAGCTCTAGCCCACCCCCCGCCAGGTACAGGTTTCCCAGGAGAGCAAGCTGAGGAGGGGAGGCAGGAGGCTGGGGTTGGCTCAGAACAACATGCCAGCCACACTAATGTGCCCTAGTGTCCCCTGTCATCCCCAGCACGGTGCCGCCCTACAGCCCTGGAGGCTCGGGCCCCGCGACCCCGGGAGTCAACATGGCCAACAGCATCGCCAGTCTCCGTCTCAAAGCCAAGGAGTTCAGCCTGCACCACAGCCAGGTGCCCACGGTGAACTGATGGCTGACCTGTCAGGACCCAGCCGCCTCTTTGGCCCAACAACAGAAGAGAGGCAGACACAGAGGAGCATGACTTTCTCTTGTCCCTTGTCCCCAGGGCAGGCTGGTTGGGCTGTCCTGGCCCCACTCTCCAGCCTGGACTCCTGACCCTAAGAGGCTGCTGAAGTGCCTGGAACCCAGCTCTGCTCCTTCATCCATGACGGCCCATGACCACCCTTGATGGCAGCCCATGGCCGTTGGAGGAGTCAGGCCACAGGGTAGAACAGGAACTCACCAAGGACCTCATTTACTTTGTGTATTAAAACCAAAAAGCTTTTGTCTGTAAGAAATAAAAATGATTTTTTTAATCCCAAAAGGTTGTGGGAGGGCAGATTAGGGTCATAAAGGGGCGGGTTTGCAAGTCAGTTCTGGGTGCTGAGATGGAACTGGGGAGCTGGATCCTGGCCTGCAGTGGGAAGGCATTGGGCCTGGTGCAGACTTCATACCTCCTGTTCTCCTGAATGAAAACTCTAGAGCCCCAGGGGATGGGGAGTGAGGAAGGAGGGCGGAGAGTGGCCTGTCCTGGGCCCTAGATGGACACTCTGTCCCCACCCCTACCCCCCCATCCTACTTATGTCTTGCTGGATAACCTGGGAAAGGACCCCTCCCATTTCTGGGCTGGGGGCGTCTTCTCTGCCCTGTAAAGAGACAGAATGGGCGGCCAGGGCTTCTTAAACTGTGTGTGGGACACATGCTGGCATGAGAGCCCTTGCTCTGACTCGCAGAAGGTGTGAGATCCCTTTGGGCATCTGGCCATGGAGGGGCTGGGCAAATAGCCCTGAAAATGAAGAATCTGGACAGAGGGCCCAGCTGGGCTCACAGGAAAGAGGAGTGGTCCCTGGCGACTGAGGGGTGATCAGCCCCCGCTGAGTGGTGGTTAAACCCTGGAAGCTGGCAGTGAGGGGAGGTGAGGCAGCTGGTGTAACAGTCACACTTTGATGGGGCCAATGGGATAGGCCTATCTTCCCATCTTCTGTCCTACCCATGCTGTATCAAATACCCAGAAATGCTAGAGTTTCCATCAAGCAGATCAAAGGCACATGAGAGTTCTTACGTAACAGAAAGTCCCAGTTGCTGTTATGGTGGTTGGTGGTGGTAGTGGTGTGCCGTGGAGTTGGTTCTGACTCATTGTGATCCTGCATAGGCTTTCCAAAGCTATAAAGCACAGGAGCAGAAAGCCTCATCTTTCTCCCGCAGAACGGCTGGTAGTTTTGAACTGCTGACTTTGCAGTCCAATTTGTAACCACTACACTACCAGAGCTCCTTAATTGCTGTTATAGAAAGTGTATAAGTTTCCTACGGATGCTGTAACAAAGCACACAAACTGGGTGTCTTGAATTAACAGAAATGTATTGTCACAGTTCTTAGAAGTCTGCATTCAGGATGTGAGTAGGGCCGTGTACTCTCTCCAAAGGTTCTAGCGGAAGGTCATTTCTTGTCTTTCCCAGCTTCTGGTGGCCCCAGGCATCCCTTGGATGTAGCAGCATAACTCCAATTTTTTCCCCCATCTTCACCAGGCTCTATTCTCTGTGTGTCTCTGCGTCTCCATTCCTTTTTTTATAAAGATACTAGTCTTACTGGGTTAGGGTCCACTCTATTCCAATATGATCTCATGTTAACTAATAACATCTTCAAGGACCCTATTTCCAAATAAGGTCATATTCACAAGCACCAAAGGTTAGGACTTCAACATATCTTTTTGGGGAACACAGTTTAACCCATAACAGAAAATATGGTAATAAGACCTGTGAGTGAAGGGACCACCTCTCCTTATTCTCCTCAGTACATCACTAAATATTCATCCCGAGTACTCCACCTGATATTCCACCATTAAAGTCACTTTCTTGTGGGTTGAGCATTGCGTTCAGAAGTGTACACATGCCTGGGAAAGGGTAGACACTGAGTTGTGTGTTTGAGGAGAGGAAGAACAGTGTTTCCAGCTAAGGTAACAGTATATGTGAAGGCCCTGGGGAAGACTTCCAGAGGTGCCTGGAGCCTCGGGTTTCCTCCTGGAAATGGATGTTGTGGTCAACAGGGGAGCATGAGTTACCAATGGTAGGATGAGGTGTCACCAACATTCTGCTGATATGTTGAGTTCCCTCCACAGCCAAGCTGGTGATGAGGGCAACACCTGAGCAAGGGAGAACCTGCAGTCTGGACTGGGTGGGCAGCCAGAGTTGGGCTAGGCCTCTGCCTTGGGTAAGTGCTTTCTGTACCTCTGTTTACCACTCATTCATTGAACAAATATTATGAACCACTTGCTTTGGGCCTGGGCTCTTGGGGCGAGAAGAGAGAACGAATGCAGGGTCCCTGGATAACCATCTTGTTGTTGATGTTAAGTATTGTCAAGTTGATTCCGATTCAGAGACCCTGTATAGGGTTTCCAAGAAGCGGCTGGTGGGTTTGAACCACTGACCTTGAATTTAGCAATTCAGTGCTTATCCTACAACACATTTTATGGAAAAGCAAAACACTATAAATAAGGAATTATGATACCATATGACTAAGGTCACAATAGAAGAAATAGGAGGGGGCCCAAATCTAAAACAAAGCATCTAAGTAGGCTTCCTGAAAGAGGTGGGCCTGGAAGAATGGTAAGTTCACTAGACAAGGGTGAGGGGAGGAAGAAGAATGTTTCCAGCTAAGGTAACAGTATATGTGAAGGCCCTGGGGAAGACAGAATCTTTTATTGGAGTGATGGGAGCAGTTCCTAGGATAGATCTCCTGATGCAGGATAAAGGTGAAGAGAAGTAGGGCTGTTTGGCCTGGTCTAGAAGTTTCGACGTCATCCTGTGAGGAGCCATGAAAGTGATGTATCTTGGTCTCTATGTGGAGCTAAGAGTGGAAGCAGAGAAAGCCACATGTAGACCGGGACAAATGTTCAGATAGAAGGAGGCAGTGTCTGGACCAGATGGGATAGGATGGGTGGGCCTGAGGGATTTCCAGGAGTCTGTAAGTGTTGGTAGCTGACTAGATGATGGAGTGTGGAAAGGAAGGGCCACAGGGCCAGGTTTTGGTTTAGGCATGAAGATATGTGCAGGAAGAAGAGCCCCTTGGCTGCAGGACCTGCCCAGTAGCAGTCTCTGGAAGATGTTGGCCTGTCTCTCTATCCAGTTAAGCACTGGGGGTCATCATGGTTTAAGCAGGGTCTTCCCTTACCTTCACCCATCCCCAGGGGATTTGCATCCACAAAGGACCACCTATCCATGGAGGCCCAGAGCAATGCCCACATGGGCAATTGGGAAGAGTGGTCTCCTTCCTCTCCAGAAGCCCTAAACTTAGAGCAAGAGAGGGGACCAGGCCTGCCTGGTGCCCACCAGTCCTCCAGAGATTGGACGAAAGTACAGGCCATGTACTTTTCTTTTTTTAAAGTTTTTATTGTGGATTATGTGATAGTTTGCATGGGATACCATTAACTTTACATTCATCCTATTGTATTTCATTTCATTGTTATGATTACAATCCCCTCTATGCATCATCAAAAAACCAAAGGGTACATCCCACAAGCCTGCCCCCTGGCCATCAGCACACAGCCCCTCTCCCTCCCTGACTCCAGAGTCCCCAGCCCCTCCATCTTGCCACAGGCCATGTACTTTTTGTTTTCTGATCCAAAGGAAGAATGTGTAAAGAGTCTCCAGGTTGGGGCTATCTGCTGTGGAGTCAGGATCACACTGGGAAAGGGAGGTTTGGGCTGGGTGGGGGAGTCTGGAAAGCAGATCCCCAGAATGCCATCCCCAAAAGAAGCCAGAGGCCCTATTCCCACGGAGGTACTGGCCCTGCTGTCTGACCACAAGGATGTCAATGTCACTTCCTCTGAGTATTCTCGAGAAAACAAGCCGGTTTAATCATTTACACATGCTGCTCCAGGAAACTGGAAGGGAGGGGGCAGGAGGGTCCTCCCCGTAAAAGAAAAAATATCCAAACGTTGCTGTTGTGATCGTAGCACTAATTGCAGGGCTATGTGGGCAGCCAGCCCAGGGTAAAACTTCTCCACAGGACAAGGTAGCCTAGACCCCCGTTCCAGACTCGAGGAAGGGGAGAGTTAAAACCTCCCCTTTCTTTGCCCATTGGCTTGGGAGAAGGCATTGCACATGTCTGCTTTTGCTTTTTATTTGAAATAAAGGAATTTGAGTTGAGAGAGAAAAGAAGTAAAAAGCAGACTGGTTCTTGCAAAAATTTAAAAAAGAAGAAAAACCTGAAATAAAAAAGATCAGAGTTCAGGGCTCAGTGGCCCTGGGTAAGGTACTTCTCTGGGCTCCAGTTTCCTCCTCAGTAAAATAAAGGGTAATAATGGAACCCAATCTATTCAATGGCAGTGGGGGATTTTCCCAGGGTGGGTAGCACAGAGTAAACTCTCCATAAACGATGCCTTAGTGTGTATTGTGGAGGAACACAGAGTGAGGGGTGGAGTCTGAGGAAATTAAACATCTCTCCATTCTGAGGTGTCCTGGTATGTCCCTGAGTGGAACAAATGGTCTATGAGTTTGGCGGCTAAGAAAGGTTGGAAGTTTGAGTCCACCCAGAAGCCCCTCTGGAAGAACAAGACGGCGATGTCTTGACGACAGGTAGGTTTTGTTTTAGCTGAAGTTGGTGAAATGGCACTTTTCCTGCACTGGTTGTTCAGGGACTCTTTCCTCATCTCTTTTCTCAGTGCCTGGCTCCTTTGGCAAAACCAAAAATCCCGGAGACCTGTGGCACTGTGGGATAAAGCACTGAACCGCAAGGTCGGTTTGAACCACAAGGTCAGTGATTCAAACTCACCAGCTGCTCTTTGGAAACCCTATACAGGGTCGCTTTGAGCCAGAACTGACTCAATGGCACTTAACAACAACATCAACTCATAAAACTGCCCCTTTGAGTTTCCAAGACTGCAAATCTCCAAGGGAGCAGACAGCCTCATCTTCCTCACGAGGAGCAGCTGGTGGGTTCAAACTGCTGCCACCAGAGCTCCTTAACTCCCTG